TGCTGGGACTTCCTCACAAATTTATTTCTCATGGTCCTGGTGAAAGACAGCGATCCCCTTTGTTCCACGCCAGAGTGGGTGAGCTGGTCTTGCATAATCAATCTACTCTCCTCTTCCCAACTGCTGGGTATCTTCCTCCACAGTGTACCAAGGCAAGTCTGGCATTTCACCTTCATTTAGTCTTGCCACATTTTGGTTCACGTTTCAGTCACCAACCACAAGGCTGGTCCTTTTCAGTCCCTCAAGTTAAAGCAGTGAATCTAGAATCTCCAGTGATCCTCTATCAGTAACTTTGGTCTGATCCAATATTAAGTCCCTTCTACCATTAGCCCCACACCCTTCATATCCATTCTCACACAAATGCCCCAGATTTCTATGATTCACCAAAGCGAGTAATTAAGCGGGTACCCCCTCCCTGGTCCCAACAAAAGGTACAAGCAAAAGGTCAGGATGCAGCTGGGCTGACCCTATAAAGAAACCTGGCTCTGGAAAATGTCGTCTCTGAGGAAAAGAAGCATGTTTGAAACTACCACTTCCAGAAGAGTCAGCAACTTCAAAGAAGACTGACGCCTCAGAGAGGTGAGGGTCCAGAAGATAAGGCTCCAAGGAGTTAGGGTAAATTTTAACAACCCTCTTTGTTGCCCTCAATGCTCGGACAACATCAAATAGATAGACCAACTGGGCACCCACTGGGGTCCTTGAAATGTTTTCCTTGCAAGTTGGATAAAACTGGCATTGAAGAGCTCAAAGTTGAGGCAGCTTTCCCAGAGCTCTCCGAAGGCTGCTCCCAGACTCAAGTCCTCAGTCTTGAGTCTTCAATAAACTCACTTAATTTCTGTTTGCCACTATTTATTTAAGCCAACACTGTCCGTAGGAAATATATATATATATATTTATATATATATATATTTTAATCAAACAGCTTTTTGAGACCGTAGCTTACCTCATCATTGGTCTCGCTTTGTAGGTCACCCTTGAAGATCTGCTAGAACGGGATCTAATTATAGGTCTAGAAGCAAAGAAGGGTGGAAAGGGCAGCTCCTGAAAAGAATCAGGAAACTTCCTTGGGGAAGGCCATCACAGCTTTTTCAGGCCAAACAGGGATAACTGCCTCAAGTGGGTGGGAAGACTGCTTCTACTGGCAAAAAGAGACTGATCAAAATCTAGGGGTTCACCTCTCCCCAGCCTACGAGGACTGTGGATGAGCTTTACTGAGAGCTCTACCCACTCCTGCAATGTAACTGTGGTCACTGACCAGCAACTGACGCTCCCTTGGCACAGTCGCACACCACAGAGCACACAAATCAGGGTCAGTGGCTCCTCCAATCCACTGCACGTGGGCCGTACACTCTGGATAGCACAGGTCCACGGTTGTCACACTGAGCACACCGCAATTACCTGCCTTGGCTGTGACCACACACCCCACTAAAGCCAGGCTTGTCCAACAGTCTTAGACTCTGTGCCACATCAACATAGCAGGAGGGTGGGTGCAGCCCGCACCGGGGACAAACCTGGAGTCCTAGCTTGGCTGGTCATGGGGGACTATGCTCTTGGCTCCCATGGGACAGCACGGGCACAAGGCCATTGCTATAAGAGCAGAAGACATAGCAGAATTGACTTAATACACAGAACAAGGCCAGAGAATCAGGCAAATGGGGATACACTGGAAGAGATCTCACATGAAAGAGCAAGACCAAACAAAGCAACCAACCAACCAACAAACAAAAAACCCAAAAGACTGCAAAGAAACAAATACTAGCTAACAACCTGATGAACACTTCAGAATAAAGGATAAAAAAGATGATCACAAAATCAGGAAAAGGATGGGTGAGAACTAGAAAATTTGAGGTCAAAGCAGAAGTCACAGAGTTAAAGAATACAATGACAGAAGTGGGGTCCAACAGCACAGCGAATGAAGCAGATAGAAGAGTGGACGAATGAGCTGGAAAACAAAGGACTAGAACTCATGCAGACAGAGCAGCACATGAAATGATTAATTTTAAAAAGCAAACACACCCTTAAGGAACCGTGGGGACAGTATCAGGAGGAACAATATTTGCATTACAGGGGTCTCAAAAGGAGAAGAAAGAAAGATCCAGGAAAGTATTTGAGAAAATGATGGCCAAAGACATCTCTAATTTGGGGACGCTCTGAGAGCTCCCAGCAACAGTAACCCGAAGAGGTCCACAATAAGACAACGTTACAGGCCAGAAGCAAATAGCATAACAAACTCTGAACACTGAAAGGAAAAAACTTCCAACCAGGAATTCTTTACTCAGCAAGGGTAAAAATTCAGAGTTGAAGGTTTAATCAATTAAGAGTTTCCCAGATAAGCAAAAACTAAAGGAGGTCATTGCCATTAAAGGAGTCTTGCAATTGGGGGCCTCCCTGGTGGTGCAAGGGGTTAAGTCCTCTCCTGTCTCACCCGCTGCTCCCCTCAGCAGTGTATTTCAGTCAATCTGCCTGTTCTGCTCCCCACTCTGTCTCTGGTGAATCCTCTCACCTCCCCCCCTCCCCATCCCCACACTGCTGGCCTACACCCCAGCTCCTACATATGCATAAAAAAATAAAATAAACCTTTAAAAAAAAGAAGTCTTGCAATTAACAAATGTTAAGGGAACTTCTATAAACTGAAAAGAAATGGTACTAACAACAAGAACATACACAAAAGAAAACACAATTCTCCAGACACAGGCAAAACGTAAATACCCATATCTATCTTTAGATGTATCTATGTTTAGATAAATAGACAGGGAGGGAGATCTGTTAGAAGTCTATATTATTATTTACCTAAATACACAGGCAGATAGAGAGAGGAATTGGTTTTAAGGAACTGGCTCATGCAACTGTGGGGGCTATCAACTTGACAAGAGTAGGGCAATTTGCAGACTGGGGACATGGAAATCGATGCTGTGTGGAGGAACATTTTTTCTGCTTGAGACACCTCAGTTTGAAATACAGGCCTTCAACTTGTTTGTATGAGGCACACCCTCATTGATGGCAATTGCCGTTATGTAGAGCCAATTGATTACACATGTTTTCAACACCTTCAAAATACCACCACGACATCTAGATTCGTCTTCACTTAAATAACACAGTACAATACAGCCTGGTCAAACTGAAATATAAAACTAACCATCACACATAGTAAAGTCAACCAAATGGTCCCTCAACGATATGAAAACCCTTGTAAGCAAGAATATCTTAAGTGTTCCAAAATGGCAGTAAACCTTTGGTGAATGGACTGAAGGTACAGTCTGGAGAAGCAATCCTTGCATAAGCCGCTCTGTGCCCTACCTCCAAGAACACCATCATTCTTAGGAAGCTATCACCTTCTGTCTGTATTTTAAGAAGTTTGTGTTCAAAAATGTGATCTTCACCCCTCTACCAGAAGTCACACTTTAAAATTATACCTGAGTGCTGTCAAAGAGCACGTTAGTTTGAGAACGATGTAAAAAGAGGAATGGCATCGACTGAATCTGTTGCCTGCTTTCCTCGGACCAGAAAACTTACAAGTTACTACTTCATCTTCTCTCACTGACCAAAGTATAACCCAAACCAGGAGAACAGGCTTTGTAAGTGGGCAAGTAATGAGCCAAATAAACAAAATGGTACAGGAAGAAGTTTCACATACGGGTTTAAATAATCCTGTCATGTCCACTAAAAAGTGAATTTTTCAAAACCTTCCTTGGTAACGCCAACTAGGATTCACTGAGAACTTGGCACCTGCCGGGCACTTTTCAAGGCCCGATCAAATCATTGGACAAAATGATGATTCCCGAGTGGCGCTCGTACTGTGACAAGAGAACTTCCCCATCCAGCTATTTTCTCTGATCACAAGAAACCAAACATGAAAGGGCCAAAATCTATGCGCCGGCTGCGCCAGCCAACTTCTAGTTCTGAATAAGGTCAGTTAGCCGGCACCATCTCTTGACTAGCGTAGAGTCTGTTTAAGCCGCACCGTTTCTTGCCTACCATAGAGTCTGCCTAAGCCACAGCGCCTGAGTTTCAGTATACAGTAGGCGACTTGACATGCCAGTGGCAATCCGGGGGAACAGACAAACCTCCCACACTCAAGTCCAGCCCAACACGGAACACTCCACCCTGAGGAGCTTCTCCAGATGCGAACCGCCCCCCTCTAGGGAGATAAATGGCGCGGTTTCCAAATAACGAGGTAGGGGCGGACCCGCCAGGCCCTCAGGAGAAATAAGACGTTGCTCATTTTTAAAACGACCGCTAGGACAGGGGCCGGGGGCCGGGGGCCGGGGGCCGGGGGCCGGGGGCCGGGGGCGGGCTCACGCCCCCCCCCCCCCCGGCCTCCGGCTCAGCAGTCTTCCTAGCAAGGGAGGAGCACACGTGAAGTGCACAGAGCAGAGAGCTGAGACACAGTTACAGACGCACAGGGCCCGACAGGGAAGGGCGGAGGTCACGACTTCCTGCGGTCCCCGGCGTGGGGCGCGGCCGAGCGTGGACGCCCCCGCTTCGCCGGCTGACCTCCGCCCAGGCCCAGGAGCTGTCCGCGCCGGCCGGCTGCGCGGTTCGTGCCGGGGTCACCTCCCCAGCGTGCGCCGGGCTGAAGGTGCCCTCGGGCCTCCCGCTGCCCCCTGGCGATCTCGGGCCCAGGCTACCTCTCAGGACTGTGCGGCCGCCGCCGCCGCGCGGGCCGGACGACGGCTCCTCACAGGCCACGCCGTGTCACTCGGGAGAGTGGCAAGGCCGACGGCGGGTCCGGGAGCCGGAATCTGCGAGACGCTGCCCGACGCGAGCCCCCCAGCACGCCTCCCTCGGCGCCGCGCCCACTAACAGCGCGCACGCGACCGCGGCGCCTGCCCGCGCGGCCTCAGCGCGCCGCCACGCGCAGCACCACGGGACTTGTAGTTCCAGGCGGGGCGCGCCGCGCCGCTCGCCGCCGCGTGGGGCACGTGGTCCGCGCCGGCCAGGAAGTGGCGACACAACGGCCGCGGAGCGTGGGAAAACCGCTTCCGCAAATAGAGTCAGTCTGCGGGCCTGCGGCGGCGAGGCGGCGCGGCGGCGGCGCGGCTCCTTCTCTTTTTGCCTTGCGCCCCGCCTCCAGGGTCCAGGTGCCAGGTGAGCGCAGACTCCGCACGGCGGGCTCGCCGCCAACGGCACAGTGCCTCGGTGCCTCCGCGCCGCTCCGCGGTGTCCGCGGCCCGAGGCAAAACGGCCGGTTCCTGTGGACGCGCGGCCTTGTTGCTCCGGGGCCGGGCCGGGCCGGGCCGCGTCTGGAGAAGCCCGGGGTCGCCCCGAGAGGGCGGGCCGGGAGGGGCTGTCGCGGCCGAAGAAGCGTCTGCGTGTCCCGTGCCGGGGGTCGGAAACCTGCCCTGGAGGTTTCCTGAGGCTGGGCCGCACCCTGACGGAAGAGGGTGAACTTAGCCCAAGAATTGCCTTCTTGCCTGTGCGGTGTCCTTTTCGGGCTCCCCCACCCCCAAACTGACCCCATCTGCAGAGCGAGCGGACGAGCGGAGCTCATCCTGCTGGAGCGTCTAGCCCGGCGGTCGGTCCGGTCGCCCTGCTGGGGCGTTCTCGGAGAAAGGAAAGTGACCCCAGCGGGGCCGGCCTCGGAGGGGTGGCTGGAGAAGCAGATCAGGGTGCCTGTGGGGCCTTGTATTTTCTGTCCTCCTCTGTGTCCGTTGACTCCACCCTCAGCTCCTTCCTGGCGGATTCTCAGAGGCAATGCTCTTCCCTTTGTAGTTTATACATTTTTCCACTTGGACGCCTGGGTTCAAACGTTTTTACCCGTTTCTGCTGTCCTTTGGAATTCTGTGTCATTTATTCTGACTGGTGTTTTTATGACTTCTCTGCTGAAAGAAACTTGCTTGTATCAAGCAAATTCACTCGTATTCCCAATACTAACTTGGGGGACAATTCCAGCAAAAAGTGGTAAATCACATTGGTGTATTTGAATGTGACACTAACTTTTCATGTTACAAAGTGAATGGCAAGGGGGAGCCAGGGATTTGATAATTCGGTGCCAGTTTTATTAAATTGCAGTTTTATTTTTTTTATTTTATTTTTTTTTTACGATTTTTTTTTTTTTAAAGATTTATTTATTTATTTATTTATTTATTTATACAAGCACTGGGTACAGTCAGAAGCACGGGAGGGTGAGAGAATTCACCAGAGCCAGAGGGGAACAGAGCAGGCAGACTGACGAAATACACTGTTGAGGGGAGCAGCGGGCGGCAGGAGAGGTCTGTCCCGCCATGTGGGACCCTCTCCGTGGCCAGGGATGGAACCGGGGCTGCAGAGGCTGCAGGCAGCTTCGCAGCCCAGTGCTCAACCGCTGCACCACAGGGGAGGCCCTAAATTGCAGTTTTATTAAATACAGTAGTTTATCTGAAAACTACTTTTCTCAGTTGATTGTTTTTGCTTCTTACTCCGTTTTTCCTGTTTTGGCATGTACTGGTATTGTGTTACCCCAAATCTCGGGTGCTGTAACTAATAGCCTTTGAAACCCTTCCCGGTTTACTGTAATTTTTTTCCATAACTTACTCCATCAAGCAATTGTATTTATTCGGTTTGTTGTCAGAAGACTTTTTGCCCTCTGTTACCTTCAGGTTCCAAATATGCTGAATCTCATTGATTTTCAGACTTTTACTCTCCCTTCACTACTTGATTTCACTAAGAGACTTACCATTTTAGTAGTGGTGGTATAAACCGGCCTAATGGGTACAGTGCCTCGCTCATTGAGCTCCTCTGAACTAGGAGATAATAAAGTTCTTGAACTTAGCGAATGGATCACTGTTACACTTCCTGTCCATTGGATAGTTCAGCGTCTCTCTCCCTTCTCTCTCCCGCTCCGACCACCCCCCTCCCCCCACCACCCAACCAGCTTTACAACCTTAGACCTGAGAACATTTGAAAGAGAAGTGGTCTCTAAGATGCAGGCCAGGTCTGTAAACTTCTTGTCCAAAGTCAATTCTATGCCTTTCACTTTCTGCTTAATTCTGACACCTGTTACCGGCTGAGGATTTCAGAAGTCCAGTGTGGGTTCCCAGAATTTTCCTGTTCTTGGTGCCCTTGGTGTCTGGTTTGGTTTGGTCAGTTGGTTGGATTGTTTTTTTCCCCGGTATCTCAAGGCGAAGAGAAAAATATCTGACAGTTCCAGATTTACTGTGCCTGTATGGGTTTGGTATGGGGCCAGCACACAGTGTCCAAACATACAGTGTAAGGACCCCGTAGAAATGCAACTAGGACATGTGTATCCCCATTTCCTTTGTCAGTTTTAATGCTAATAGTGATTTTTTGGGGATAAGATTGAAGTGTTTGTGGGTTGCAGTTAGCATAGGCAGGAGTTCCTGCGTAATTTATAGCAATTAACGCTGTTTTCAATGTTAGTCTCTCTAAAGTGAGATATTTTTTTAAACTTCCAGTTGATCACTGCAGTTAAGTGGCTTAACTTCTGGTTAAACTTGTCGAAAACTTGTCTGGTTAAACTTGTCTGGTTAAACTTGTCAGCGTCTTGTAATTACATGTAATGTCCAATCTTTTCCATTCCAGGGTTAACTCATGAAGTTTTGCCTCCTGTGTAATCAAGAATGGAAACTTCTGCAAACACAGCGGAATGTGAAAAGCTCTCTTATGGAAAGGCAAAAGCATCAATAGGTACAGAAACAGAATCTTCATTCGGTACTAATGAAAACACAACTGCTTCTGGGGCTGGGCTTTCTGAAAAGGCTCCTCCTACCTGTGGGCAAGTGGACACTGCAAGGAAGAGAAAAATGGAGTCTGAAGGTGATCTTGTAAAGGAAGGTTCTAGATGTAGGGGAGACACGCCATCCAAGGAAAGAACACTTGCAAAGGAAAGGTTAAGTGGTGGGGAAGAGGGCTCATTGAAGAAAAGAAAACTCGAAGCTGAAAATGTCCTGGGGGAAAAAGGTTCTGGTGATGAGGAAGGCATTTCAAGGAAAAGAAGGCTGGAACCTGGTGATTTTCCAGAAGACGAGCCTTCTGCTGGAGCTGGCACTCAGAAAAAGAGAAAGACAGAACTTGAGGACGTTCCTGAAAAGCAGAAGGTACGTCCAAAAAGGTACCTTACTTCTTATGCGGTTTGTCACATTGAAATGTGGAGCAGCTGTAAGATAATTCCGGTTTTTACAAAATCTTAGTGACTGTGGCCTTTAAGATAGAGTAGGCTTTTAACTCTTCTTTCTGTTTAGGTGACACTTCTGCTAGTGAGGTCATTTTTTATCTTCTTTTCAAACTCTCAGTTTGATGAGAAACTTGAAAGCTAGCTTTTATAGTTGTGTTGTTCTTAGTGTTTGTTGTTTTTTTTTTAAGAGACAAGGGTATACAGTCCCTTTTTTATCAGGTGTTCACCTCCCTTTTTTTGTGTCTGAAGTAATGGAGATTTTCGCTTAAAGTGATAAATTTCAAAGTCATATCCAGATTTACGTTCCTTTCTTAATGCAGTGCCTTAAACTATACAGAGTTGTTTCTAACTTCCTGATTGGGGTAGTTACAGACAGTTTTAGTAACTAGATGCAAGCGTCTGGAGCTTAACAGGGCTATTCTAGAGCAAGGGATCGCAAGTCATTTTTCTGCTGGGAACACCATTTTGTGAAGGAATCTGATGTCTCATATATTTTTCTCCCCTAGAGGTTAATCATGCGCCAAACAGCCGAGGGACGTTTGCTAAAATAGGGAGTAGGGGAAAACAGATCTTCTGCATAATGACTTCCGTGGCTAGTGCATTGCATACTGAGGCTTTTTGATTTCGTTGTATTGTATCCTTCTGTAGGTCAGGTGCCATTTCCGGCTTACTCTCCTCATGTTCTGATGCCTAATCTCGTTCCATCCTCTTTTTTTACAGAACTTGGAAGAGGGGCACAGCTCCACAGTGGCTGCCCACTATAATGAACTTAAGGAAGTTGGTTTGCAGATGCGTAGCCAAAGTCGAATATTTTACCTAAGAAACTTCAATAATTGGATGAAAAGTATCCTCATCGGTAGGACTGGTTTTTGTTTTTATGGTGTGAGTTTTTATTTCAACTGGCGGCTTACATTTTTTGCCCTGGTGGTTAATCATACACCAAACTGCTAGGTCTTTAATTTCTATTTATTCTGTTGTCAAACCTCATTGGCGTAATAGGATTGGAGCTAAAGACTAAAGCTGGGCCTTTGAGATCAATTCTGTTCAGATTGGCTCTGGGTGGACAACATAGGCTGGGCTAAGTTGAGCTAATCAGGCTCAAAAGGCAGTGTGCTTATTTTTATACTGAGAATTCAGGTACCAGGTGGTACTGCATAATTATTTCATTTCATTCTAATAGTTCTGAAGCAGTGGCATAGCCAACAGTAGTTGGATTCAGCGTCCAGGTTCCCTTAAGTGAGGAAGGTGAGCAATGCCATGTTTTTTATCTTGAAGCCTTTCATGACCTGATAAAGGTCATGTGGGTTGACTGGCCATATGAACTTGTTTTTCTTATATGGTGTCTGGGGAGAAATAAAGTTTCCTTTGAGGGTTGGTGAAGACGTTCAACTGTTTGGAGGCAGCCCTTTATCTGTGGAAACTTGCCTCTGAAATTAAATGGAAGTCAGTGCAGAGAGCATGACTCAGAATATAACAGTTGTTGTTTTGTACAGCTAGTACTCAGACTCTTACACGAGTTTGGAGAATTTTAAAAAGCCAGTGTGTTTTGAAGTCATTCACAGTAAGGATTTTATTCGGTCGTCTTGTGTTTAAGCCCACCTCAGGGAAAGTGAGCAAGCTTTCTTGATTGCGTTCTTGATTACATCAAAAGAAAAAAATAAATGTGATAATTGTGGGTACTTTCTACGAGTCTGGATGATAGTTTGCTTCTTTGGAAAGCAAAATTATCCATTCTGAAAAAACAATAATAAATAAAGAGTATAAATAAACTACATTAAGCATACAAATGTCAATTCTGCTGCTGCTACTAAAAAAAAAAAAAAAAAAGTATTAGGAATGGGAATTAGGCCCATTATTTCAAACATACTTTAATATTTTCTGTCTCTCTTTGTTTTTGTTACTCATATGTCACGACAAAAATATCATTTACTTGACTGGCCGTAATCAGTGTCAGCTTCTGTATGTATTTATCTGTTTGTTTGTTTGTTTGTTTACTTGCTAGCTTACTTATTTTAGGTTAATGTTATGGCACTTTTAGCCCATACTTTAAAGGCAGTCGTGGGAACCTCGTCCTAACTTCTTTCCACCTTGTCACATCCTCTCCTCACTGTCCACAGTGATGCTGCAGGTAACTTACCCTTCCTTGGGTATTTTATCTGAAGTGTCATTTCTTCATTGTGCGTTGAGTGAATGTATTTAAGTTCAGCCATATTCTCCACATTGTGTGTTTATTTTTATAACTAGGAAGACAGATAGTTTTGGAAAGGACACCTTAAGGCTTAGCATAAAGTAATCTCTCGGCATCTTCACAGTGTTCCCTTCTGCTTCAGCTGTCCCAGTGGGGTGGTCGCACTGTCTGGGGTCTGTCTTTGGGGTCGTTGTACTCCACACCAGTCTTTCTGTCGTGGTACAGTCAGTGTGGTCTGTGCCAGGCTCGCTCTCTGGCTTTTCCGTTGTCTTCTCAATACTCGTTCTCTGTCATGTTCTCTTTCCGGTTGGTGCTTATACTTTAGTGAATGACTGAGCGTTCGCCTTGATTGGATGAAGATGTCTCTGAATGGTGTTTCATGAGGATTTCTCCTCTCTTACCGTGCGGAAACAAAGATTTGTAATTATTGTTGTTTTCCACTCTTTCAGTCTGATATTTATGTTCTTCAGGGTCATTGTGAAAGTTGAACATGGATCACTCGTGCTCCTGTTGAAGTTACTTTAAGATGTTAGAGGCGGGCCTCCCCGGTGGCAGAGCGGGTGGAGCGCAGTGCTGTGAAGCTGTCCGCAGCCTCTGCAGCGCGGGTTCGATTCCCGGCCGTCCAGGGAGATGCCCACATGGCGCGGCAGACCTCTCCTGTCTCACCCGCTGCTCCCGTCAGCAGTGTATTTTGGTCCGTCTGCCTGTTCTGCTCCCGTCCTGTCTCTGGTGAATCCTCTCACCCTCCCGCCTCTCTGGCCTGTACCCCGGCTCTTGTATAAAAATAAATAAATCTTTAAAAAAGGAAAAAAAAGATGTTAGAGGCGATGAAAAGCAGAAGTATTGATGGAGATTGTTTCAGCAGTCAAATGGAAAGTATTAATCTCAGAGTGATAGATAGGGAGGGAGAGGCGCTCTGGAAGTGAGTATGGCCTCCGGTTTTTGAATGGCTGAGTACCTCAGCTATCGAAGAATATGACTGTGCTTCCAACCGCAACTTGAACCATTTGACTCCTGATATGTGATATTTATATTATATATGTAAATAACTGTGTGTATATAATATTTAAATTGTATATATAAGTAATCGTGTATATAATAATCGTGGTCTGGTAGATTGGGGTGAAGATTCCATTTTCACTTCAGAGTGTTCGGTGTTCTGAGAGTAAAAATAAGAGGTTTGCACGGTTTTTTTGACTCGTGCTCTTATTTCTTTTGGTGGTACGCTTGGCGTCTTTTATGAAAATCAGGTACTCGGATGGTCCCGTGTCCATTTTGATTTACGTAGGTGTACAATGAGCTAGACGCTCAGCGTTGGAATGTGAAAGGTACTGAAAATTATGAACAGTTAACTTTTCTCCTATGGACAAGTGTTGAGTCTTCTTATAAAGGTATTAGAATTTAAGGTGTGTGCCAGTTCACGTTGAATCAAATTTGGAAACCCATGTCAACCGTTTCAAATTCCAGAGACATATTCTTTCATCTTTCCTGCTGCAGGATCAGATAATTTATCTCTTAGTCATATTTTGAAATGTTTAGCAAAAGTCATGATTAATTACATCACTGAATGTGTTAATAGTTTATTTTCTTTTTATCACATGTCAGGCAGAAGTTAGTCACAGGTCACCAGGGTTGCAGTTTATGCTTTAGCAAATAACAGTAAAGCGATCGTTTACCAGGACTGATTTCTCTTTTTCAGGGGAATTTTTAGAAAAGGTGCGACAGAAGAAAAAACGCGATATCACTGTTTTGGACCTGGGCTGTGGTAAAGGTGGAGACTTGCTCAAGTGGAGAAAGGGAAGGATTAACAAGCTTGTTTGTGTTGGTAAGATAAATGATGGCATGGGGAAGAGTAATTTGTGGTCATTTGGGTAGGAGAAAATTGGAAGGATCTCATTATCAACATGACACGCAAAGTAACTCACAACAGGATAATCTGGGGTCTACACTGTAAGGGTTGTTTTTTTTAAGATGAGTTAGGAGCCTTTACTGATGGTGTTATACTATGATTAATGAGCCTGAGATAACTTGTCCTTCTTACCAGGAAGGAAGCGGTCAAAGACAACTAGAGTCCTGTCTAAAAGAGAAACTTGAAAAGGCTTCCGCTGAAGAAAGCGAGGGCATTTTCAACATAAGTGATAACAGTGGATCAAAACACATCCCATAAAGAGGGGAAAATCCCATTGTTCACCCCTGGAGGTTGTTAGGGCCAGCCATTATTTGTCGTTCTGTAATTCCTGCGATAAGGTGGGGGTGGGGATTGAGTACTTACTTATCTTCCCTACCCTGCATGAAAAGTGTTTCAGGGCCGCCCTGGTGGTGCAGGGGGTTAAGCACCCACAGTATGAAGCCATCCCAAGCCTCTGCAGCACGAGTTTGATCCCCGACCGGCCAGGGAGCAGCTCACATGGTGAGGCAGACCTCCCCTGCCTCTCCTGCTGCTCCCCTCAGCGGTGTATTTCAGTCAGTCTGCCTGTTTTGCTCCCCACTCTGTCTCTGGTGAATCCTCTCACCCCCCACCCCTTGTCTCTGGCCTGTACCCCAGCTCTTGCGTGCATAAATAAATAAATCTAGGGAGAAGAGAAGAGAAGGGAAGAGAAGGGAAGAGTTGAGTTTCAGGGGAACCAAATGGTTGCAAAGGGAAGTTCCTCTTTATTAAAAAAAAGAAAATCATAATCCATCATGGCAGACAGAATGTTAGAAAAATCACCATTTCTCCACCCTTGATGAAATAATAGGTCTATGCAGCAGCCATAAAAAGAAGCTAAAGCTGGGCCTCCCTGGTGGCATAGGAGTTAAAGTCTCAGCTCTACCAAGCCATTGCCAGCCACTGTGGTATGAGTTCGATCCCCGGTCAGGGAGCAACCCATATGGCTCAGCAGACCTCTCCTGTCTCGCCCCCTGCTCCCCTCAGCAGCGTGTTTCAGTAGATCTGCCTGTTCTGCTCTTTACTCTTGTCTCTTGTGAATCCTCTCATCCCCTGCACCTCTGGCCTACACCCCAGTTCTTGTATGCATAAATAAATAAAAAAAGAATCTTAAAAAAAAAAGGAGGAGGAGGAGGAGACGCTAAAGCTGTTGTGTGGAAGACTGATAAGAACTTACAACTAAATGAATCAAACACCCTAACTAATACTGGAATGTAGGACAAGCAATCATCACATTCTTTGCTATGCCCGGAGTAGGAGGAAGTATAGAGCATCACCTCCAAAGTATTGCCTAAATTGAGGCTCCTCAGGCGCAAGGGATTAAGACGCAACCTATGAGGCTATCCGCAGCCACTGCGGCACGAGTTCGATTCCCGGCCGGGGAGCTACCCACATGGTACAGCAGACCTCTCCTGACTTGCCCACTGCTCCCCTCAGCTGTGTGTTTCAGTTAGTCTGTGGTGTATTCGCTCACCCCCCACACCTCTGGCCTGTACCTCAGTGCTTGTGTGCATAAATAAATAACTTAAAAAAAAAGTAAGTTGATGCTTCTCAGACTTCTTGGTTGTGTGACCACTGTGCACTTAAAAATATATGAGGACCCCAAAAATCTGTGTGTATGTGGTTATAGCTATTGGTTATAGAACTTAAAACTGAGATGTCTTAATATGCCTTTAATTCATTCAAAAAGAAAAGTTAATGCAGGGCCTCCCTGGTGGCGCAGTGGGTTGAGCACAGCGCTGTGAAGCTGTCGCAGCCTCTGCAACACAGGTTTGATTCCTGGCTGGCCAGGGAGATGCCCACATGGCCCGGCAGACCTTTCCCGTCTTGCCCGCTGCTCCCCTCAGCAGTGTATTTCGGTCCATCTGTCTGTTCTGTTTCACTCTGTCTCTGGTGAACCCTCTCACCCCCCACACCTCTGGCCTGTACCCCAGTTCTTGTATAAAAATAAATAAATCTTAAAAAAAAAAAAAAACAGTAAAAAAAAATGTTAATGCAAAGACTGGCATTTTCCAAATGATTTTGCAAATCCCTTTGGCATCTGGAAAGTAGGCGTCAACTGGTGCTCACACCAGTTTGTGCATTCAGTATGTTGTGGTGTTTTGTTTGATCGGTAGTTGTAAAATGTAGAGTTTTAGTTGCAAAATGTAGTCACCTTTGCAGACTGAAGTTGTTCGTCTTGGGATGAACCAAGACCCACTAAGGTGTGTTCCTTAAATTAGCTCCTGTGTGAAATTTGAAACCCTATCCACGAACTTTTCTTGGTCTGTACTTAAGTTGGGTGGGCTGTTGTGTGCCATGAACAAATCTGTTGCACTGCAAGATGTGGTAATAGTGGGAAAGTAACATTCCCTAAAGTTATGCAGACCTTCTTCTGGTTTTCCTTGAAGTCACAGACTCACTTTGTTGATTTTCAAGAATACATACTACCAAGTCTGAGTAACTAACAGGTTGTCTTTCAGCCATTCTTTTCAAGTGCAAATGACTTGATGAAAACAGTGGCCATTTCACCTCAACACAAGCCTGTCTTGTTGTTTTAACTGACTGTCAAACTTCCTTAGGTAGCAGAAATGTTTTTGTTGCTTCCTGCGCATCCCACAGAATATGAAAATGAGTGTTCAGGAACCAAGATTTAGTCAAATAATAATTCTTACTGCTTTATCAAGGACTTTCTTAAGTGAAACTGGCTTTTCTGCTTTGTGGTCAAGAATATATCAAGTGTTATCAGTCCATGATAAGGTGCCAGCATTTTACCCCTCCCTTGCTTTTGCACCATTAGTGCAAATCGCCACACAGGAGAAAAGGCAAATAACATATCACTATGAAAATTGAAACCTGATGTCTGCAAAACTGGGTGTACTGCTGGGTTTTGTAATTCAAGTTGGAATCTAAACTTTCTGCTTTCACTTTGGGTTTTTGTTTTTTGTTTGTTTGTTTGGTTGGTTGGTTGTTTTATTTTTTTATTTTTATTTTTTTTAAAGTAAATATATACGTTCTTATTCATTTTTCTCTCAGGTGTAATCCCCATAAAATTCCCACCACCAAGTCACCTGTGCACCATCACCATCGTCTCCTGTGCTTTTCCCTCCCCTGTTTTGTTCCCTCTCCCTCCCCCTCACCTGCTGTATGTCTCCAATTTATGATTTGTCTGCTAGTTTGGTCTTTTTTTTTTTTTTTTTTTTTTTCTGTCTTTACCCCTTGTTTGCTTTCCCTATAGTCCTCCTACAAGTGAAACCATCCGAGATCTTTCCCTTTTTCCCTCTGATTTACTTCACTGAGCATAATCCCTTCCACCTCCATCCAGGTTGTGCGAATGGCATTGAGCTTATCTTTTTTGATTGCTGAGTAGTATTCCATTGTGTATATATACCACATCTTTCTTGGAACAGTCACCTGTTTGGGGGCATTTGGGTTGTTTCGATATCTTTGCTCTTGTAAATAGTGCTGCAATGGGACACAGGAGTGCAGGTTTCCTTTTGAAAGCTGTGTGGTCCTCCGCACAGCTTCCCATAGTGCTTTAACTTTGAATGAGTATTTAAAAATCACGATAAGACTTTTGCCTACTGAGACAGCTTTTAATGTGTTTGTAAAGACGGTCTTATTTTGAAGGAAATAGAAGATTTTTGCTTGTAGGAAGGCTTGCTAAGTTTCATGCTGAAACTTGCCAGTTGAGATCAAAGTCTAGAATTTTGCCATTTCTGCATTTGCATTTTGTTATCTCCCTGGATATTTGTTGATGGTTACTAACACCTGTCTTCCCCCTTCTAGATATCGCTGATGTTTCTGTCAGACAGTGTCAACAGAGATATGAGGACATGAAAACTCGTTCTCGCGGTAATGAATATATTTTCAATGCAGAATTTATAACTGCCGATTGTTCAAAGGTACAGGGTTTTTGTAAGATTGTTCACTTAATTTTTTCATGTTTTCATTTGGGTAAATGATGTGGTATCCTCTCAACTGGAAAGTCTGTCTCGATACATTTCCTTAAATGACCCACTGGGTAGTGGGGGAAGTCTTTTGCTTGTAATAGTTTGAACTTTTGAAATCACGGGCTGCTTTTTTGTTTGGAGGAGGTGTATTTTCCAGTATTTTGAAATAAAAGTGTTCTGTTCACCTTGTAATGTAATAGGGTAGTTTTCCAACATGCCAGAGTCTGCTTTTTCCCCACCTTCCACCTGTTTCTGAATCTCTAAGCATGACTGAAGTCTGAGAACTACAGGGGAATGGGGAAAGCCCCACCTTGAACTTGATGTTACTTAGTATACTCATCAGCTTACTGAACTATCACAAGGTATCTTTAACCCTATCACAAGGTATCTTTAACCCAATCACAAGGTATCTTTAAACATTTTTGGTTGCGGTTTTGAAAATGAGAAGGAAGAGTGGCTGAGTATAGTGCTAGAAGGCTGGAGAGCTGGGAAAACCATTTTGGGTATTGACAAATGCATCCTACAAGGCCAGCTTTGTGGTTTTCTTAATCCCAAGTTAATGATGTGTCTTTTGACTTTTGACTTGCAAGTAAAACCGAGTAAAAGGATCACCTCCTTGAAAGGTCATATTTGATTGGTGTATTTTTAAGCATGCCTTCTGATTCCCTAGTTTTTAAAGTCACTGTGAAGCCAGATAACAGAATGACTCATTCTGACCTTTCTTGTAGGTACCGAATGACAGAAGGACAGATTCAATGTTAGGGTCTTAATTCTAGACACTAGTTCTCTAGAAAAAAATATGTAAATAAACCGTGTTGCACGTAGCTTCAAGATCTTAACCCATTTTAATCTGTTTCAGGAACTTTTGATTGACAGATATCGAGACCCAGAAATGTGCTTTGACATCTGCAGTTGCCAGTTTGTCTGTCACTACTCATTTGAGACCTATGAGCAGGCTGACATGATGCTCAGAAATGCTTGTGAGAGACTCAGTCCTGGAGGCTATTATATCGGTACCACTCCCAATAGCTTTGAACTGATGTAAGTACTTTAAAGTATAGTGCGGTTTATTAAATACTCAGGATTAAGCAGATTTGAAAGTAGCAAATATCTGTTAGATAGAGTTTCTAAAGTACGCCATGTTGAGCTTACAAGGACTGAACGTCGATAGTGTATTTGCATAGAGACGCAATTGAAACTTTAAGTTCAAAAAGCCAGGTTTACCAGTGAACTTTTAAAACCTCTGACTCAGTTGAAGACTGATGTCATGTGGAGCCAGCGTGTATTGCCCTTGGCCAAACTGCAGAGCAGATACTGAAACACAGAGACTTAACCACCTGTCGTGACAGCAAAACGTTCTTCCAGTCAAATTTTATTAGTGAGATGATGATCTTCTGGTATGCAGCTTCATAAAAAAATGGCTCGGATTCCATGAGAAGGCTAAGCAGCTGTCTCTTTGAGATTGTGGCCGTGGGGATTTTTCATGTGCGTGAACTGATCAAAGTAAGTCTGAGCTAGTAACGGTTTTAATCTTTTCCTTTTGATTTGGGGGACAACCCTTACAGAAGACGCCTTGAAGCTTCAGAAACGGAATCATTTGGAAATGAAATATATACTGTGACATTTCAGAAGAAAGGAGATTATCCATTATTTGGCTGCAAATATGACTTCCACTTGGAAGGTGTTGTGGATGTCCCTGAATTCTTGGTCTATTTTCCTTTGCTAAATGAGTAAGAATGTTATTTAATCTGTTACCATTCTCTTGTTTGTCGTAGGAGGGAAAGCAAAGGAATATTGGGGGGGGGGGGGGAAGAATATTTCTGCTCATTCCTAACTTTAAATGGGACTTAAAAAGTATTGTAATTTAGAAAGGGGGTAGGGGGGCTTGGGTGGGTTGTGTTGGGGTGGAGGAACTAACTTTAAATCCAGGGTTTGTGCCATAGGTCTCTCAACAGTTTACGTACTTAAGTCTTTTTCATTTCCGGAATTATTTTATCCTGTGGTTAAAAAAAGAAAAAAAAAAAAAGCCAACCTTTGGCATAAAATACCTGACACTGCAAATGACAAAAGATTCCCCCCGTTTGGAAGTAACTGCTAGTAACTTTGTCAATAGAAAGTGAGTCTTCATCAGGCAAATGTCCTCCTTTGACAGGGAATTAGTATTAAAAGTTGTCCCATATTTCGCTATAGCTGTGAATTTGCCTGTGTCCCACAGGCAATGTTGAATAAGAGTCCTCATTCAGGAATGTGTTCATTCATGCACCTGAATTCCTAGGAGCCCTGGCAAACCACAGACCTGGGAAAAGTTGGGCTAACTGAGTTTTCCAGACCTGTGAGACTCTTTGGTCTTGGGGATCTCCATGAGATGGGAGCAGAAGAATGCACTTAAACGTAGGCTGCGCGACACTTGACCAAACTTGATTTCCTAAAACAAGTCAAGTTTGTTTTATGAAATGAAAATCCTTTTTTTCCTGAGGAATGGTAGAAGGTTATTTGAATTGTGTCTTAGACAGCTTGTAAATTTATGGGCATAGGATGTTCAGGAGTTCTACAATATATGGAGATTTTATGCAGTAATGTAAGACAGTTCAGTGTAGCATGTGACATGATGCATAACACCCACAAATTATAAACCTAAGCCAACACTTAAGTATTTAAACATCTTTTTTCCCTTTAAAATCAGTAACCTTCTGGGAAATGTTACTGCTCTTCACCTCTGTGATAGAATGAGTGTTGTGGGTGTCTTGTTTGACGTGCTTGGTATGACAGCTTATTGGTTTTTATTTTCCTTTTAACAAGGTTTATAATTTTAGCATGCCCATTATGATAAGGAGTGAAATGAAAGTTTGTTTTTTTGGTCCATAATGCTCAGCCAGCACTCAAAACTGCCTAGTGATGGTGAGTGTATAAAGTCACACGTCCTCACTTAACTATGTAAAGTTTTAAAAAATTATTTACTGAAACAGGTATTCATTTGGTGAAATAGAATCTCAAACCTGTGTAGGGATTTTTAGATGCCCTTTTGTCATTTCGTTGAGAAACTGAACAAACATATGATTAACTTGTATAGGGCAAACCTGCTCACCATTTGAGTTCTTTGTATTTATTGGTGTAACACTTGCCTTTATGTCTGAAGCCTCATTTTGGAGCCTTAGGATAGCAAATGAACTGCCCGGAACAGAAGAGGCTTTTGTCTTGCTCAAGTCTTTCTGAGGAGGGCTGACTCAAATTCCAGGGTATCTCTCCATACATAGGTCTCCTACACGCAAATCCCAGTGGCCCTGGGATGTCTCCCCTCACCCTGTCGCCTCACAGCACTTCCCCTTGTATGCTCTCAGGGGTCCCTCCCCATTCTTCCTCTCCTCATTAGCCTCTGTCGGAAACCATTTCCCCAGACTCCCTCCCTTTGGCAAGCATGGGGAAAACAGAGAAGCCTACCAGGGAGACCCAGGGTAATTGAGGATTTCAGCAGGCCGCGTCTGTGAGGAAATCGTGTTTGTGTTCACATCTGAAGGATGAGTAGGCAATGGCCAGGTGAAGACTGGAAGGAAGAGTGTTTTCGCACCTGGGGGGCAATCTGTGTGTGAAGGCCCTGAAGTGACAGATAGCCTGCTTGGCTAGTTCGAGGTGGTGAAGGAAAATCACTGTGACTGGGACTTAGGGAATCAGGGGTCCACGTGGCTCAAGATGAGGCAGCAAGCGGCCCTTGTTACTCGCGTGCCCGAGAGGCCCTGTGACAGGCTTTGGGATTGCATCCTAAGAGTGCTGGAGAGCCAGTGAAGGGTGTTGCGGCGGGAAATGACTGACTAGGTGTGTAGGTTTGAAAGCTTCATCTGGCTGCAGCTGGAAACTGTGCTGAGGGGGAGCATAAATTTGGAGGCAGAAAAACAAGCCACCGTTAACAGCTGAGGGCTGATGGCGATTGAAGGAGAATGGTGTAAAAAACGGACCTACCTGGACTATGTTGTACAGGTAAATGATGATGTGTTGAATGCAGAGGGTAGAGCGGGGCGGGTAGCTCTCATGGAGAACCCCGAGGTTTCTGGCATGAATCGCTAGGTGGATTTACTGAAATAGCAAAGATTGGCAGGAGAACAAACCAGTGGGTTCAGCCTTAGATGTGGAAAGGAAGAGAAAGCCCGCGACACATCCTGGTGGAGATTTCTAGTAAGCATTGGACTAGATGAGTGACGAAAGAGCTGAGCCCCAGAGAGCTGTGGGCATGCTGTGTAAAGCCAGGGAGTGAAAATGAGTAAGGTTCTGAGCCAGACTCTTCAGAACCTTGAGGGGCCAAGCAGCCCCAGGTGAAGGCTAAATTAATAGCGTATCTTGCCGGGGTATGCAAGAGGTGAAACACTTACATTTTAAGAAGGAAGTTGGCAGCTGTCTTCAAAGCCACGGTTAGAGATCAGGTCAAATAGGATGGCATCAGTAGAAGAAAGCCTTCATCATCCTTCCTGACCATTTGACTTTAGTAGGGTTACCTGTGATCCGTGGAGAGTTAACAGAGACATTTCTTCATAGGCCTGGTTACTGGTATGTTACTGCTCATTCATTTTGCGTCATGCTGTATTGAATTTTTAAAGGAGATGGTATTGCTCAGTTAAGCACAAAAGATGTTGCTGTGGTGTGGAAGTAAGCTGTTGAGGAATTACCAGTGCTCTGGAAGCCTTTGCATTAGTTTTTGTTTTGTGTTGTACAGAATGGCAAAGAAGTACAAAATGAAACTAGTCTACAAAAAATCGTTTCTGGAATTCTATGAAGAGAAGATTAAGAACAGCGAAAATAAAATGCTGTTAAAACGAATGCAAGCCCTGGAGGTAAGTCTTGAGAAAAGGTGCAAAAGTTCCAGGTCACAGCAGGACTGTTTGGCTATTTTTCAGGTTCTTTTCAAAGCCAGGTAGACACTAAACATTTATATAAATTACACGAGCTATTTACAGCTGCCCTCTGGATCTTCAGCACCGAGGGCAGAGCTTGGTAGAGCAGCTTACCCTAGCAGGTACTACATAAATACAGGATAGATGGTTGGATGGATGGTCGATGGATAGTGCTGACCTCAGATTCCATTTTCTAGATAGTCCATCTTTCTAGATAGCGCTGTTGGCATATAGGACTGGCTAATTCTCTGTTGGCAAGGCAGGGGTGGGGACAGGGTCGGGGCACCATATTGTATGCACTTCAGAGGATCAGCATCCCTGTCGTCTGCTAGATGCCAGTAGCACCCCTGTCCACCTAGGAGAGAGCCCAGAAATGTCTGAGACAATTGCTAGCTATCCACTGGGGTGCAAGGTCACCCCAAGTTGAGAACCACTTCTTTTCAGTAATGTCCTTTGGTTACGGCAGTAATTTAAAACCTTCCTGGCGAGGGTCCAAGAGAGGCTCGTGCCATGCATAATTCTGTTCTGTGGTGACGGTCCAGCAAGATGCCAGTCTGTTCATGCTGGAACCTGCTTTAACTCCTGGACTCCTCTGTGCTTCCCCTTTTGCCGCGGTGAAGGGCACCTATACAAGCTTTAAACTCTGCACAGCCATTGATTATGGTTTTTTGGTTTGTTTGTTTGTTTTTATGTCTTGACCCCTTTGTTACTGATCAGCAGACTCTTAGTAATGAGATGCTCACTGAACTTCTTAATAGAATTTGTGTAATTTAGACTTTTTTAAAATACTCCTATTTAGCCTCGTAATTACCCCCATGAAGTAACACAGCAGCCATTCCTCACACTTTCAAATGGGCGTTATGAAGTTAAGAGGAGATAAATGACTTGTTCAAGGTCACGTGGCTGTCAACTTGCAGATTTTTCTTCCGTTTTTATAGGTGGCGTTCACATAAAAGTCCTTTTGGGTCCAACACCCCACCCCCATCCCTCAGTGGACGCGACCTCCTTAAGTGTTCAAATTGAGTTTTGCAACCAGCAATCACTAAAATGTTACAGTCTTTATTGGTTGTATTCTCGTGTTTTAGAATTAGAAATGTTTGTGTGTGTTTTATAGGAGAAGAGGCTCACTCTTGTTTGTTTCTAGGAAAAAGGGAAAGCTAGAGATAGCGTAGCTCCTTAAATTGCCACAGGTGCACACCATTCATACATCATTGTTACCTGGCAGTGCTTTGCATGTAAAGTGATCAGTTGGTAAGATGTGGTTTCTTCAAGGAACTCGAGGTACACTGAGGAGCCGAGCATGCGAGCAAACCAGTACAGTGTGAAAACTACAGTAAAGAAGGAATTCTGCAGTGGGGGTATGAAAGGGCCCTTGGAGAAGAAAGTTAGGCAGTGGGAGTGAAGGCAGAGAAGCATGAGAGTGGGGGTGATTGAGGAAATCTACTAAACTTTCAGCATTTCTTTAGCACAACAGCTCTCCTGTGTTCCTTCTCCCCCTTCGTCCGGCTTTGAGGATGTGGAGGGACGATGAGACCGGAGGTGGAATGAGCTATCAGGGATGCTGTTGCTTTAGTCCACGTCAGATATTGAAATGGACCCACTCTGTCATGT